AAGTTTTCACAAAATTCCATCGGGAATAACAGGGAGGTTGGTTTTCTGTCCATGACTCGTTCCAAAAAAGTTCATTGTCCTTCCAAAGACAGCAATTAACATTGTAGTGTCTTCGAAACGCATTGAAAATGCATTGAACAAAAAATGTCTTCCTTTCCTAAATCATCTAAAATATTTGCCCAATCTATTATCCTCAGAAAATGATGAGACGTGTCTTTTAGGGCGGGGATAATTCTAGGAAAAGAAAAGTAGAAGGCATAGAAGTGTGTGCTGCGGATCGAACCTAAATTAGTTTTGTTATAATACTCACGCCCCGCATGCAATGAGCGAGAAGAAGTCCTAATACCTCATCTCGGATGGGCAACACATGTATTCATATATGTATATCTCAGAAATTGCTCTTCTATTCTACTAGTCACTTTACTTCAAAAAGAAGTTACATATAGCTTTTGGATTCATTTGTTTCGATTTTTCGGTAAATGTAAAGATCAGAGAGCTATTTCGAAGAAAAAAGAACCGAAAGTCAAAAACTATCAGGAAAAACAGAAGAAACTACAACAGCTACTACTAGAACAACCCTGGCTTTCCGTTCGGTTTCTTTTTCCTTTGTCTTCTCTTTTCTTTCAATATTATTCTACCCCGCGCTCAGTGACCTCTGTTTTTTTTTTGCTGTCCATGTTATTTTTTTCTCCGTGTCTGTCTTCTTTGAAATATGATTTGGGAGACGTCAAACTGGGCGGGGTCCTAGAGACCCTGTTAGTTTGAAGGATTAGAAATCGTCAATGGAAATTGGCTCTTTTTTGTGTTTTGATTGTTTCTTGATCTTCATTTATTTTTAGGGTTTTTTGAAGATAACGCGTCTTCTGATAACGCATGTGGTGATTACGCATGACTTTGGTTTGTTATGAAAATCGAACCACATGCAGTAAGCCGAAAAACTGGAAACGGATATAAAAGGTTCATCGTTACCCAATTTTCAGCTAGTTGTACTTTCGAGATTTCTTTCGAAGACCAATTTTATCAAGATTTTCAGTTTTCTGTAATCTTCCGTTCTGTCTCATTGTTTTTTTTAAAGATTCCTTTAACAAATTCGCCCGGGCAAAATGTCAGGATACTGTAAAACCCAGAAGAAAATGGTTGTGAATTTACAGTGTTGGTCAATAAAATGTACAATAAAACTTTTTTTTTCAGTTTTTTCTCATTTACACCACTTTCAGAAGTCTGTAGCTCGGCTGTCAATTGTCGGATCACTTTAAAAATCCTGGAAGACGTAAAACAGGCCATGATGATGAGTTTTGCAGTCACAGACTTTTCTTAAAGTTCCTAGTTTGTCAGCTATTCAAAGATTTCTGAAAGACACCTGTTTTTTCCCGTTTTTAGTACGAACGGGCCAAAAAGGGATGACTTTCAGAAATCGGGAAATAGCTACAAAACTAGAAAATGTCTTATAATTCTGTAAATGCAAAATTTTCAATCTATAGCTGTTTTATACCCTCCAAAATTTCCAAAAAAAAAACCGAAATTATGACAACCTAGCTGCCGACTCTTGAAAATGCTGTAAATTACAGAAAATTTACAGAAATATACGTTTTTGTACACCTTATTGACCGGTGCTGTATTTGTCTTGAATTTTCGGATACTGTGCATCATCTAGATGCTTTAAAATTATATTTCAATTTTTTAAACTCATATCACTTTTTAATCAATCAAACCACCCTATCAATCAAATGATATCACTTACTATGAGTCAGGTAAAAAAGAAACTCCAAAAAATCACGAAAAAAAAACAAGTTCCACTACCCCGTTATTGAATAGACCTAAATTATAGTTTTCCATGCTCTAAAATGTTTATTTTACTCTTTTTCATTCGAACAAAAACGGAAAAAAATTTGCTTGTTGCTTTTTTTGTGTGTTTTCCATGTCCCTTTAAAATCTCCTTCTCCTTTCTCATTTTTTTCGTCGTCTTTTTCCGTTTGGTTTCTCCTTCCGTCCGCTCAACTAGATGAGTTTCGGTTTTGGTTCTTTTTTTTTGTCTAAAATGAGCAGAGCCTTCTTTTTTTTCTGGACAATGAGCAGTCTGTCATCATCATCATTATTCATTTTGCTCCTCCTTCTCCCAAAATTTCAGAGTCTAGAAAGAGGCTGCCTCTTTTCTAGTGACTAAAAAAATAAGAAAGCTAGACATTTTCTCATTATTTCTTGTTTAGTCGTTTACTTGAGAAATCTGAAATTTTTAAAAAAAAGTGGCTCAACACAAAAGGAACCAGTGAAAACAATAGAAAAAAGTGGTGTCTGAAAAAACAGAAGAAGGAAAGCGATTTGAAAAACTAGCGGTTTGTTGTCTTTTTTGAAGTTTTCTAATTTTTTTTGAATTTCAATCTGTCACAAGAGAACCTAAACACTTTGCGAACCCAGATTTTGATGAAATCCTCAGGAAATGTAGAGCATAGCCTATCTAAATACCTCCTCTCGCCATATTTCAGCCGAGTTATATCAGCTTCAGTACTGAAAATTGCGTTTCCAGAAAAAAGCCGCATTTTTCGAACACGATTTTCTCGAATTGTAGGCCGTTTACCGTGAACACTCTAATAGAGCCGATATATCTCTGTTTTTATGAAAGGTATCAAAACGTCGTCAAATGACAAAATTTTTAGCATAATAACGAAAATATTTTGTCAGTTGACTATTTTTTTCAAATCTTTCACAGAAAAAGAAGGTGCGGGCTCAAAGTTGACGGTTTGAGTGGTTATCTATAAGTGTTTCAGGTAATCTGGAAAGTTGTGGACATAACATTTTTTGTTCCAGAAAGTGTTTGACATAGGACATTCGTTTTAATTCTGAATATAATACAACAATATCATGTTCTAATACGACCTAGAAGTTGAGAAAATCATCTTTAAAAATTTCCACTAAAAACACGATTTTTAGCACTAAAACTGAACCTGGCTAGCGGATAAAAATTTTTAGGGGTGCCTGGATAGATTATTTTCAACCTATCGTGATATTTTCAGCAACATCTGGGTTCCTTTGTTAAAAGTTTCTTCCAGAATTTATTCAAAATTTTTTATTCCGATCTGTCAAAGTGATACTTGATGATTAGAATATTTGTCTGGTGTGCTAGAAAGATTTTCTCAAAAAAAAAGTTGGAATGTTTTTGACGAAACTAATTCACGCATCTATGAAAAACTAATTCGGAGATTTATGGCGCTCATCAGTCTGTTGAAATGATGTCTATTTTGTTGAACGTTCAATATTTTACTGGTTTAGTGATCTTCACATTTCTTAGACTAGCCCTTCCACATGAACACGTTCAGAACTCAAAACTTCGATTCCGCTTCCGGTTTTGTTTTTTCTTTTTGCTTCCCTTCCCTCTCTTCTTCTTTCTGATCCAAAATTTTCCCTTTTAAAAAGTTCACAGGACCAGCACGGACTACCGGAAAGCGAGAGCATGTGAGTAAAGGGGGGCGGAGCTGAAAAAGGCGGGAGGGGCACAGGAAGGAAAAGCGATGAGACATCCCTCTAACGCTACTTTGCTTCTTTCTCTCCCTAATTTCTAAAAGTCCCTTTCTCTCTCTCTCTCTATCAACCCACGTCCAAAAAAAATGGTTGACGGGCTCTAATTACTGAAAAGTTGTCTTGATTGCTAATAAGCTTCCGGGAGTCTTTAGAATTGGTTTTGAAGTGCACAAAATGATTTTATAGACTAGCTGACTTCCAATTTTGGCATTCTAATATTTAACTAATAAAAAAATTGTTTTGTGGCAATGTATCAAACGGATCCAATAAGATCCGATAAGATTCCAAAAGTTTAGAAATTGGTCCCCGAACCTCAAAAACAGCTTTTTTGCACAAAGAAGATACCGAAACACCTTCTCTCTCCAATAAGCAGGAGCTGCTGAGATGATGTTGGGTCGGTTCGGAGAAGAATGGAAGAATCTATTATTATATTCCTTTGTGCGCGTTCCGTTCGTCTCGTGTGAGCGAGTTGGCATTCTTGTTCGGTTTTATTTTCTCTAAGACTGCTGAAAATTACGTCCACCAACTTAGCACATTCTAATCTTTGGTTTTTTCAATTTCTCGTCAACTGATATTTTTTGGGGGATTCTGATTCATTTTTGATAACTTTTTTTGTATTCTTGAGTAATCGGATACAATTTTTCCGTTATTGAGGTTAAATTTTTTGAATATTTGTTTTCAAAAATAATCCATCAAATTTTATTCAGACTCCGTTTTCTATACCCAAATTTACCAATTATACAGTATCTGTCTAAAAGAAAGTTTTTTAAAGTCGATTTTTGGAATTTTCCTAGGTCTGTAACTCGAATTTCGAGTGTCCGATCCCTTTGGAAATTTTGAAATGTGTAAAACGGACCCAGAAACATTGAATTTACAGATTTTTTGGAAATTTCTAGTTTTTCAGATAATTGCCGATTTCTGAGTGGCACCTGATTTTTTTCACGTTTTCAGTACAAAAAGTACTTTCAAATAGTACTTTTCAGTACTTTCAGAAATCGGCAAAAAGTTGAAAAATTATGGATTTTCAAAAATTCTGTGAGTGCAAAGTTTTTAATCTAGGTATGTTTTACATTTGCTAAAATTTTCAAAGTGATCGGAATCTAAACAGCCAAGCTTCAGACTTCTGAAAATGCCAAAAATCAACAGAAAATTACATTTTTTATATTATCTTATTGACCGGTACAGTACTTGTCTTCATTTTTTTTTCGGGTACTCTACATGTAAATAATTTATAAAAGAGCAGTAATTTTTAATGTCAATCTTTGCCTTCAAATTCTCGATCTTTGTATTTTACCTTATTTGTTATTTTCTTCCAGTTTTTAAAGTCACTCTTTCATTCTAAATCTGGCTCTATTCATTCACATTTTTCCCATTCAGTTTCAATTTTTCAGGTGTCTCGTTGCTATTTCCATCCATAAACACATTCTTATACATCACTAAGTTTTCTAAGTTCTTTGCTTCCTATCCACTGCAGGAGCTCAAAAATGGCGGCGCAACCACCACCAACACCACCACCATCACCACTCGTTCATCCATCATGTTATAACAATTACACTTGTCGTCCGGTGTTCATTGGGAACATGGTAAGTTTTGAGAACCAGAGATCTTTTAGACAACCCCATAAAAAAAGAGTGCATTACTGCTACTTTTTTCTTGTTGGTTGGTCCTACCTAGTCCACCAAATTGGGTTAGGAACAAACGAACTGAAACTACTGAAATAAATCCAATCTCGACCTTCGTCTAAGTGAGTGACGTAAGAAAGGTTTTCGAAACATTTGCAGTAGACAAACTAAATTTTTAGGAACTTTTTTTTTTTGAAAGAACAATCATGACAAATCATTTTAGGTGCCAGTGGATTGGGCTGTTCCAATGTACGGGTATATGATGCCATTTATCGTCACACTTACAATAGCCACCAACAGTTTTATTGTGGTTGTTCTCTCCCATAAATATTTACGAACTCCAACAAATTATGTGCTTCTGGCAATGGCGGTTACAGAATTGCTAACCGGGCTTTCATGCCTTCCATGGTTCACATATTATTACACCTTGTCAGGTAGGTTTAGAGCAGCTGAAAAAAACCATAAAAGAATGGTATGATCTTTGAATTTTTGGCTCTCATTTTTTGGGGTTAGGGGATAGAAAGTGCCCAATCTGGCGGAAAAGGGCATTTCGACTTCCTCCCCAAACACTTGGTCAATTGAATTAGTGACTGGAAGAGAAATCTGTCTTTTTCTCCTTTTGGGATCTCCCCAAAAAAACATTAAGAAAGATATGAAATCATCCAAAGAAAATAAAGTTTTCAGGTTACAAACAAGATATGCAAACAGGTCTACCTAGTTTCTGGTGTGACATGATACCGTATATGGCGGCGTTCCTACCATCGATTTTCCACACAATGGCTATCTGGCTAACAGTATATCTTGCTATCCAGCGATACATTTATATTTGTGTTCCATCTTTGGTTAGGAAGTTTTGCACTATTCATCGGAGTAAACAAGTTAGTCGATTTGACAGAGTATTGAAGAGAACGTGGTTTTTTAGGTCATATTCTTCATTATCTCCGTTGCTACGGTCATGTACACACCGGATCTGATGGCGTTCCATAATGAGAGCCATGAAGTTTATGACAACAGATATAACCGTAAGATTTCATACTACAACACCTCGTAAACCCAGATTTTTATAAAACTTTCAGGATATCTAAGCATAGTCTATTTAGACACTTGTAAAAATTTTAAAATTCACTTACCAGTCTCAGTCGAGTTTTACCATTTTCAGTACCAAAAATCGGGTTATCAGTGGAAAAATTGGATTATCAGTGGGGGAAATTGCAATTTTCAGAAACAATTTTTTCAATTTTTGTAGTATTTCAAAACTTTAAATTTGTTGGGTTATATAAAAAAAAAATCAAATAATTTCCTATTTCATCCATTTTCTCAATTTTTTAAAATTTCGAATTTTTTCACGATTTAATCGAAAATTGGAAAAAGTAACTTTTTGATAAAATGTCTTAAATATGAAATTGTATTCAATTCTAAGTGAAATACAATACATTTCATTTTTCGAAACACCCTAGAAATTTATGATAACGCTTTTGAAAATCGCTGTTTTGCACTGAAAACGCAGTTTTTGGTACTGAAACTGACACATAACTTGGCTGAAAATGGCGAGCAGACTCAAAGAAGTGTCTAAATAAGTTCTTTCGAACCTATCCTGAAAATTTCATAGAAATTGGATTACATGGTGTTGAGATTTCTTGGCTGAAATTTGTGCGAATAATTAATTTCCAGGAACGCTTACGCTTTGCTACCGACACAAAGCCCCATTCATGGCGAAAATCGGAGAAGACATCTACTACAAAGTTATGTTTACCACTCAAACAATTGCAGTTCATTTGATACCCTCCGTGCTGTTAGTCATTTTCACGTGGAAACTAGTGGGCGCCATTAGAATCGCCGACCGTCGTCACGCCAATCTTCTCTCCAAGTATTCAACCAACACTCGTTCGACGCGACGAAAGTTCTCCGAGCTGACGAGTTCTTCGGAAACCGAAAATAAGCTAATTCGGTTGTTCAAGCAGCGCGATAGCGTCAGTGTGGGTAACGAACCTCGACGAGCTCATGGATTGAAGCAGGTACTCGAGACAAATTAAGAAGAAATGAGTCATATAAAAAATTTTTTGCAGAACACAAGGATGTTGGTGGTGGTGATTTTATTGTTTTTGATCACTGAGATCCCAGCTGCCTTCATTTTCACCATCCATGTTTTATCGGTTTCTCTCAAGTTTAGTTTTGTGGATTATCAGTTTTTGAACATTCTTCTCATTGTCAGGTAATTATCAAAAGTTTTCTATATGTAGTACTTTTTAGCTATCTCGTCCATTTTCAGAAGTCTGGAGCTTGGCTGTCAAGTTTCCGATAACTTTGAAAATTTGAGAAGGTGAAAAACAGAACTAGATTGAAAAATTAGCATCTACAGAATGTTATGAAAATCTCCAAGTTTTCAGCTATTGACCGATTTCTGGAAGACACGTTTGCATTGCAAATACAGGACAAAAAGGGTGTTTTTCAGAAATCGGGAAATAGCTTTAAAACCAGACTTTAAAAAAATTATGTAAATGCAAAATTCTGAATCCAGATCTGTTTCACACCCTTTAAAACTTTCAACGTGATTTCCAGAGCTCCAGTCTTCTGAAAATACCGAAAACCCGTTGAAACCCCCGTTTTTGTATCTCTCATCAAGCGGTACTGTAGATTGCATCTAATAACGAATTTCCAGAAATGTCCTAATTGTGGTTTCCTATCCATTCCGATTCGCAATCTATTGTGGAATGTCCCAACAATTCCGAGACGTCGTCAGACAGATGTTCACTGGCAAAATGCTCACTCATGCTATCCGTGATAAGGATAATTCAACGACATTGCAATTGGTCCAAGGAGTCAATGATCACAGTGACGATAAACGGTAAGGAAATTTTCTGAAGAATGAAATGCTTTGTCTGGTTTGGGACAAAAATGAATAGGGAAATAACTACATCACCTCTTTCAGTCAATCGGTTGTTTTGTGTTCCACCAACGGAACTCTGGTCTCTAGTCTTCCGGAGGATCGAGGAGTGAAAACGAAAGACAAGGTGGGTTGAACTAAAATGCAAGATTCAGCTCAGGACCGTAACACCACTCAATGTTATAACTCTGGACGTCTTCCCCTCTGCCTATGTTATAACCGTTATAACTCTGTTCAAAAGCACCCCAAATCATCATATCTATCTTGTATATATCTCTCTATATTGATTTCAGGCACTCGAAACTTGTGAAATAGGCGATATGTCGTGTTAAGGTATACTAACACCTCGGATCCTAATTGCTGTGTTGTCCCCATTTCCACCGATATAGTTCTTCTCCTTGCATGTATGGTTTTTTTTTCTGATGATTGAGAAAGAAAGTTTTTGCAGTTTTTTGGCGTTTCATTTTTTTAGTTGTCCTAGATAACTAGACGTTCTAGACTAGACCATCTGATTCAGCACCGTCTGCAGTGATTTTCAACCACACTTCTATTTCTTTCATTTTTTTTTCATTTTTTGTGAAATAGCTAGATTCACTAACCCACTTTTACTAACCTACTGTTTTTCTTCCAATAGAAGCTCAATCAAACAATCAACGTTAAGCTCAATTATCTTGGTTCCTGTTGAAGACATCTAAAATTTGTCAACTGATAAATGTTTTCGTCATATCGCCAATATTTCATCAGTAGACAAATTTTTGGATATTTTTCACAGAAAACGAGATAATTGAGCTCAAAGTTGATGTTTAGAGTGGGCATCTATTGGAGAAAATACGGTGAAAAAGATAAAAAATTGAATTTGTAATTTTTTTTCAATATTGGAGTTCGAAATACACAGGCACATACACTGATTTTTTCAAATTTCTTCTTTTAGCTGCAAGCTAGCTGATTTTTGAATCACCAACTCTTCCAATAGAACCACAACATTCGATTTTCAGGCCGTCCAATGTAATCCCGACTTCTTCGATGAAGAAAATGAAGTCCCATTCGATCCATTTCTTGCCGATCTAGCCATTATTGTTGAAGGGCCTGGCTCCCCTATGCGTATCAAAAATACAGGTATCAACCAAGAAATACTCGCACTTTGAGCACAATTATCTTAATTTCTATGAGAGGTATCAAAAATGTGTAAACTGATTAAATTTTAGCAATATCATGACAAACATTTTATCAGTTGAAAGTTTTTTTTTATCGTTTTTAGGAATTGAGATAATTGAGCTTAAAGTAAAAAAAGAGTACTGTAAACACTCTAATAGAGGACAATCTTATATTTGTACGTTGAGCTCAATTATCTCAATTTCTGTGGGAGATATAAAAAATGTCTCAACTTGTAAAATGCTGGCAACATAATGTACAAACATTTTTTTCAATACAAACATTTTACTAATTGACAAGTTTTTGTTATCTCTTATTGATATTGAGATAATTAAGCTTAAATGTGCTTACAGCAGTCTTATTTTTCGAATTTCGCAATGTGTATTTTATCTTTTTGTTTCAGAATCCACATTTGATTGCTTAACCCAATGCAGTACCGAAATGGACAATCAAATGTTCATTAAGCGAAAAAGCTCATTACTTCGTGCCGCCCTCAAGAAAAATCAGCAATTGTCGGCGATGGTGGCTCGTGTGTCCTCTTAATTTGGGTTTTTCGGGTTTCTTTGTAATTCACATTGAATTTATTTTTTTTCTTGCTTCTTGCTAGTTTTATGCTTCAAATAAAGACTATTTTATATATCAATTAAAAAATATATGACATTAAAAAATTAAAAAAAGAAGCATAAGGTTTTGTCTGTATCAGACAATTAACGAACTCCTGCAGTCTCAAGGTCCACCTGAGCGTAAGCGTTCTCTGCTGGCGGATCATCCAACATGTCTGCGATCATTCTCCGCGATTTCAGGAAATCAAACATTGCACGCTCATGGAGCACAAATTGGCTTTCATGCGGGTCTCCTAAAAAAACAAGTGACATTGGTGCAAATAAAGCAAAAACAAGAAACAATACAAAAAATGTTTAAAAATTAATAACCCACCCATCCGGAGAGCTTTGAACACCGGAGCCGAAACGAAGAATACATTAACTCTTCCACGTAATTCTGCTGCCTTGGATGCCATAATACTATCAAATTTGTTTAGGGCCTTGTCAATGTATCGTTGTTTTAGAAGATCACAAACAGGAATTTCATCGCTTCGACTTCGAGCTGCTAGCTTTTTATCGCATTTCGATATCAAGAACAATATCTGAATGACATACTAAATTTGATTGTGTATTCATAGAGGAATTACAGTAGCATTCCTTCGATATGCAATTTTAGCAAAAGCCAGATCCTGCTCACTCGGTGTTTGGTCGACGAGAATGAAAAGAGCGGTGAAGGAAGCGACGTTGTATAAACTGAATTTTAATTTAGGGACACATGCACCATTCGTTGTCTTTCCTGATTGGATTAGTGTTTGACTTACTCGACGAATTCGAAATAGGAACTGATTTTCTTGGGATAGGAGAGCTCATACAATGTGACACTGTACTTGAGGACAGTGTCATCGAATTCGAACTTTTCACAACTTCCATTTTTCGAGGGCTTCTGGAATAAACGATTTTTGGTCCTAGTTGTGCTTTGATGTATTTGTCTATGTGTGTGAATAGTAGTTCCTGGAATGTCATCATCATCAAAACCTAAGGACGAAAGTATGATTGGCTTCGTCAACTCTAATGATGCAATAATTGGGAATGACGTCTTGATTTACAGGAACTACATGAGATTCTTATTTTCTTACTTTCAAGGTTAACCTACACATTTTTAGAAGGGACTTACGCCGAGTTTTGTTGCTGATAAGGGATTCTTGGAGGACATTCCTCTCATGGCATCAATCAATGACGACTTTCCGACTCCTCGTCCTCCAATAAACCCATAGTTGAAACATGTCTGCAAATTATTCCAGATTTTTCAACTTTTCCGACAATCCACTAACTTTTCCGGCTCTTCTAACCATAGTTTTAGGCTCTAGAGATTGATAAATTCTATCATCGGTACCGAATGAAATTTCAAATCCAGCATCTGCCAAAATAGTTGGTCTACTGACTGCATAAGCTTGAACTTGAGGAGTTTCCTCCTGAAAACCATCACTTTATTTGTATTTTTCTCATTTTTAGACTTACTAGTCTATAAGTTTCAATATTTCCGTTTGCTGGTCTCCCTGATTCTTCTCTTTCTCTTCTGAGTTTCACTTCTAACTCATAGTGACACCCGGTGCTGAGATCCAATAATTCTAATAATCGCTCCTCATTCATTAAATAATGAAGATATCCAACAGTTCCACTAACTAAATTCCTTGTTGTTGGCGCATTTACAAACAAAAGCTCGACGTCATTTAGTATTTGAGCCTTTGAGAGAAGATACCGTGAGAATACTAATCTTGCCGACGTCTCATAGGATCTTTTCATTGCCTGGTCTAGCTTTGTTCCGTTTTCTCTGTTTTCCGCGTCCATGTCGTCATCGCTTTTTGTGATCAGGAAGGTAATAGATGTGCGTCTGAATGAATCAAGACATAATTCGCGAGGTGTGGAAAACACAGTTTTTACCTGGATAGAGCCACCCGGGCAAAAGTGATGTCTTCATCGGTTGGGGCGCCGTCAGGGATCAGAATGAACAGTCGTTTGAAGAGTTTCAGTTTGTGGCTTCTGAAAGAAACCATGAGATTATCATCTTCAGGTGTACTTACTCTAAAGCACCCTGTTGTAGAAAATCCTCTTTTCGAAAAGATTTTTTTCTTTAAATTTGACCTTTCCCAATTTCCTCTACAGTGAGCTTATTCACTTTGAGCTATGTTATCTCGATTTCGGTGAAAGATATCAAAATTTTGTCAACTGATTAATTGTTCATTACAATAAAACTAAAACTTTATCAGTTCTCAACATTTCGATATCTTTCACAGAAATCGAGATAATTCAGTTCCACGTGGACAGCACGGGAGGAACTGTTATTTAGGAAATACTGTATGTGCGTTTCTGTTGAAAAATATTCCAGAACGTCCACAATTGTTGACACATTTGGTGAAACACGTTTTTTTCAAAAACTTGCTTAATTTCTCTCAAATTGAAAGATTTTGAACAAAAATTCATTTAATTTTCCGGTGAAAATTTGTAAAAACATCACCGGAAAGATATAAGGACTGGCCCTTCTATACAAGTGTTACGGTACTTACTCATAAAACTTCTCAAATCCCATATTTGCATCAAAAACTATACTAGACGACGAAAATGTTCTTGGATACGGAATTTCCCATAACACAGTCTGCTGTAATTCTCCTTCTATAAATCGAAATGGTTCCATTCTATCACAATGACTTCTTCCAGCAGATTGAGGATCTCCGTTGTTCAAACCACGAAGGGAATTGATTAGCCAAGATTTTCCCGAGCCGCTGCGACCACAGAATCCAAAGTTCTTACGGTTCATATCGATTGGAAAAGCTCCACTGTTAAAGTTCTTTCCAGAACTGTAGTTATAATCAGCGAGGATATTGTAGATTGGATAGTCATCGGTAGTCTGAATTCAAAAAGTTTTCTGATTAGAAATTTTAGACAAAAACTCACTTTTACAGATGAAACTGATGCATTGTCCGCTACATGGTTCTTCTTCTTCTCATTCTTGGTAACATCAAATTTTACATGAGGTGTCCCCACAGCATAAGCGGATTCTTCTTTTTCTTTCTTCTTCTGGATAGGCGGCAACGTTGGTGGATTTCTATCTCTTGTATTCAGAGCTTCATACAGTTCAATTTTGTCTTTTGCATAATATATGGGTCGTTTGATAACAGGAGGTGCATAATGTGATTCGTCAGGCTTTGGAGGTAATGGACTAGATCCTCTGGTGAGAACAGATGCTCCAAAGTGCTTCTGAAATCAATACAAAAATCTAATTGGAGTACCGATGCATTAGACAAATGACAATGTTTTACAGTTGATTTTCGACCATTTTAACCTCTTTATGAGTCTGGAGCTCGGCTGCCAAGTTCCCGATCATTTTGAAAATGTTCGAGGCTGTGAAACAAAGTTATATCGAAAACTATGCATTTAGAGGATTTTGAAAATTTCTAGTTCCCAGATATTCGCCCATTTCTGAAAGAAATCCATTCTCGCCCGTTTTCATTGAAACGTGCCAAAGTGGTTTGTCGTTCAGAAATCAGCAAATAGAAAAAAACTAGTAATTTTCAAAAAAAAACTTTATGAACGCAATTTTCTCATCTAGGACTGTTTTTAACACTCCAAAATTTTCGAAATGTTCTGTAACATCAATTGAAAATCGCGTTTTGTATATCTATTGACCGGTAGTATTTTTATCCGGCGCTTATGAACCTTGTGGTCAAAGTTTTATTTAAAGGCGCATTGCCGGTCTTGAAGCAAAAGTAGCTACGGTTTCTAGAAATAAATTCATTCTACTGTTGCTCATTTCCCTCAGATTTTCGCTCGTTTTAGCTTATTTTTTTCCAGATTTTCATAAATATTCAGCTGAATTTCTTTATGAAATAGAAAACAATCCAAAAATCGGCCAATTAAATTGATTCCAAAATACTGCATTAAACGCGCATGAATTTATTTGTAAATACCGTAGCTGTTTTCACTTCAGGAGCGACGATGCGCCATTAAATAAATTTCGGTCACAAGGATCATCGGCACCGGACAAAAATAATGTAATTTGTTAGAAAGCACTTACTCTAGTTTCTTCATGATGAAAAACTGCATCTTTTGCAGGATCCGCCGGTGGAGGGATAGTCGGAGGTGGTGGTGGACTGCACCTGGGAGGACTACTGGACCCCGAATTGTTACCAGATGCTATCAGAATCGGAGTCTCTTCGATGAAAGATTTCAGGCTGAAATCAATCTCCAGCGAGTACGAACACATTTATTCAATTGTTTTGTTTACCTGTGAGAATCCCTCGGGGTTGGTGGTGGAACAGTAAAAGGATTAGGTGTGTCCGGTTGGTAGATGGGTGTCGGGTGCGTGATTGTAATGTTAGGTAGATCGGCGAGTGTTTTTGCATTGGGAAACGCTACATGGTTTTCCACTTTCTCATTTTTTGAGGTTTTGTGACCCATGTTGCTAGGTTTAGTTTAATTAATCAGTCATAAATATAAAAGTAACTGAAATCGACAGTAAATAACAGAAAAGCAAAGGAAAAAGAAACGGAAAACGGTCAAAAGCGGCCTTTGCGGTTTGGAGAATATATAAAAATGAAGAATACCCGAATTGAATAGCCAGAACCACGGCACTCCGTTTTAATCGCATAGTCTTACTAAAAATGGGAGAGATCGAATAGAAAACGGAGGCTTTGCGAATTTGAAACACACACAGGCACAAGCCTGCGTGTATACAGTATTTTTCTCGTTTTCCTGGTTTTCCGAGTTAGGTACCGACACAGTTTTTATTTCCATAAACCTGCACTTTATGCAAATTTACATGACTCGTCATAAGTCTTTCCCGGTGTACTTGATTTTAGCCACTGATTTTTGTTCCAACAGTTTTTTAAAACAAAAGTTTGGGACTTGAAAACTAATGAAAACGCTTGAATATTAGAGAAAAACACAGATAGGTATGAAATATGGGGATAATCAACTGGAAAAGCGAAATGTTCAAAAATTTTCAGACCATGAAAGTTATATAATTGAAGTCGTGTCATCAGTAAAAATAAAACGAATAATTGAAAATCTAAAAATTTCCATTCCACCTCAGTGAAGTGTAAACGGATAATGAATTTTTCAGGCGAAGTCAGAAACTCAAAGGATACTTGACTTTTCAGCAGCTACACTAATTTTCGATTTTTTTGAATAATAACATTCAATGAATCTTGATTTGGATTTTCAACAATCAATTTTGTGAAATAAAATAGTTCTTTGAAAAAACTATAAGCCGCATTATTGCACTGAAAACATCAGAAAAATCATTATCTTCTTTTTTATATCGACAATTTTTAAAGGTATTTTGAAAATAAGCTAACACCTATGAATTCCAATATTGATATTCTTTTCCTTGAGGCTCTACCGGTGTTGACTTTTTGAGTTCATCTTATCAGTGTCTCACTTTTTTCAGAAGCACATTCTTTTTGCTTCACTGATTCGAAAAGTGAAAAGTCACATGACCATATATACATAAACACATTTGGAATATTACTTCAGAGTCATGCTGCAAGAATTCGATGAATCCACGGAAAACTTCGTAAGTGCCGTAATAGCTGCTTTGGAAAAACATAAAAAAGTGGAAGAAATCAAGGATTTACGAAGATATGTTCTGCAGCGTAATGTTGAAGCCAATATTGAAAAATATGCCAGTTGGCGAGTCGACCAGGTCAGAGCTCAACGAAGAATGATTCGGGTGAGTTTACCTTTCTCTAACACATTTCTCTAGATGTATTTTATTTTTTTATGTATCATTTTTATTACTTCAGAAATTTGTATTACCGAAACTTTTGTACCAACTTAATACTTACGCTAGTTCAATTATTTCTTGTTAAATATTAAAATGTAAATAATAATTTTCAGATCACTTATCAATTTTAAGGAACTCGAACAACTTCGTGTTGCCTCCAAACAAACTCAAACTGAAACTTCCAAAGAACCACCACTACCGATCACCAATCAAGCTTCATGCTGTGCAATTCTTTAAATTTATCTATCTTTTTAAAACAATATCAATTTTTGTGATGATCTCAATGTTTAGTCTATCAATTCGTTTTTGTCTTGAAACATGAAAATAGGGTGAATAAATTCATTCATGTCTGGTGCGGAACAAGTTAGGGTCCGCAACGTGTATACGCAATCCGTGTTGCGTCTTTTTTTCTACTAGCCGTTTTCTTACATCTCGATACGTAACCGATGTTCTCGAATTCGTTCTAATCATTTGTTTGTTATTTTTCGTTTTTCCATGGATGAAGTAGTTCAACGTGTTGAAAAATTAATTTCCAGTGATGTCCCAAACTCTGCCTCAATCGACCGCCGAATTTTCCGAGCTTTACAGCGCTTTCGTTAAAAAAGAACTATCTTTTTCCAAGAAAGGATCGAATGTCCGAAAAGAAATTGTTCAACAGACCATCGAAGGAAGACTTGCTGCATTCTTGGTAATCAGGAAGTGCAGAAAGGTGCGTTATTGAACCTTTCAACAAAAAATATGCTTTGATTTTCTACCCTTTTTGAGATAAAAATATTAGAAGTACCGCGTCTTTTCTTCATAGTATTTTCTAAAGGAAATGAAATAAGTTTTCAGAGGTTTCCAAGAAGAAAGTGGTGTCTTTTAGATTATTTAAAGTGAACATGAGCAATATTCTGAGATTTATACATTTCAGAGGGCTGCAGCTATAAATGCGAAGAAGGCGACGGACAACATGGAGGAGAAGACTACAAAGAGACCAACCAAGTGCTGCGTAGTAATGTGAGGTAAGAGTTTTTCGTTACTTCGATGAAAGCCTTCTAGAATTATCCGGGACCAGCCTTTGTGAACAACCGTTCTTGATGTGATAGGCAAAATTTCGTAGAACTGGATATGATCACTAAAATAATAAGATAGCTTTGTTTTTTCAGCAGAGAATATGTACTGTCGCTTTTCAGATTAATTTTTGAATATGACTTGTTTTAAGATCCTGCCGTTGTTCTATCATTCACTGCTCTCTGGATGATATCCACGATTCCGGTCCAATGCGTCATGTCAAATATTAATTTTTAAAACCCATAAGATTTTTACAATAAAATTTTATATCTATTCTGCCGCCTGAAACTTTCTTCACTCAACTGGAAAAAGTTGTTTTATCTTTTCAAAATCGTATAAGCTTCACAAAGATTAAAAAAACATCAACAAGCTCAAACTTCTTTCTAACTTTCCCTCTACTTTGCTTTCTTCTCAACATAGACCAGAAGCAGCTTCTTCTCCGGTGAGGTGGATAATGTTTTTGATGACATCGACACACGAAATAGGGTAATGTTTATAACAGACGAGCTATGAAATCGCGTGTCTATTAATTATTGATGACACCTGGGCTCAAGTGAGGAGGATACTATTTTGCCTCATTTCACCTTTTTGGTAATCTTCCCATCTTCCCTTTTCTTATTTCGTAACTTCCTAGACTACGTATTGCTATCTGTGGTTGATGATAAACTGAAATTTCAAACGGAGACTACCATGGTGAGTTGTGGTTTATTTTTCAAAGGTTTTCAGTAGTAATACATTGTTTTAGTTTGGTTTTATTCACGAATCCGTTCGACAGTTGATGATAAGAACATATGGAGAGTCATTCTGGGCTAAAGTATTAGAGCGTGCTGGGTTTGAAGCTGGAAAAGAAAATATTATCAATCACTATTATTCCGATCAAGACACATACACCCTGATAGATGCAGTCAGTGTCATCCTGAGTGAGTTGAACTTCTATTTTTCTGTGATAATACAAATTTATAATTTTTAGAAGTCACTCGAGAACAAGTATGGGAGATGTATGGTTGTTTCCTTATCCAGTATACTATGGAAACTGGATGGGATGATTTGATCAGATCGATGAGTCCAAATCTCAAAGGATTCTTGGACAACCTTGATTCTCTTCACTACTTCATTGATCATGTGGTCTACAAGGCAAATCTTCGAGGACCATCTTTCCGGTATATTATTTCAAAGCTAATTCTAGCCTTCTAATTGATTGATTTCAGATGTGAGGACAATCCGGATGGAACTATCACATTGCATTACTATACTGGCCGTCCAGGCTTGTATCCTATCGTGAAAGGAGTACTTCGTGAAGCAGCAAAGAGAGTTTTCAAGTTGGATGTATCCATGTCTATCACAGGTATTTGAGCCGTTTATGAAGTTGAACCTTTGAAAGTAGAAAGTTTTGGAATTTTTCAGGAAGAACACAAAGAAGTGTGCAAATGGCAACTGGGGAGAGAATTGAGGAGCATGTCATTTTTCTCATTAAGGTATTGTGGTTAACTTACTAGGATACTAGGATACTGTAAATCGGGTCAGGTGTTATGACACATGACCTATATTACTTGAAAGCTGAGAAAACGTCATTTACGACTATGATAGCAAACCTTGCTTTGAAATCCATAGATCTGAAACAATTCGGTCAAAAACTCTGGGTTTTCTCCTTGTCCTTTAAATTTGAATAGAGCTTTGCGACTTATGTATTTAGTATTCACGCGATTCAAAATTTGCTTTAAAATTAAGAAGAAAAGTAGACAATCCGGAGTTTAGATTTGTTTTCCTCAGAACCGTCGGCCTTATATGCAAATTTTGATACAATATTCGTAAAACACGTTTCTCAGTTTTTCAATGATATAGGTCATATGTCATAACTTCATACCTGATTTACACAGTTTCCAAGTTAGGAAAAAATAGTATGATTGGCTTTTTAGACTCAAAATACTGATCAATCAAATGAAGACGCCCTTGGAACAGCAGTGGTTCAACACAGCAACAACTACAAAATCCGCCTCACCCATATGGATTTTGTCACAACTTTCCCATATCATATGGTTGTTGATCAGGACTGCAAGATCGTTCAAGTCGGACGAGAACTTTAGTAGGGATGATTCATTTTAGATTTCTCAACTGTTTGAGTTTCAGTAATCACATTCCCAAGGATCTCCTCGCAGTTGGCACTCCACTAATGAGAATATTCGAAGTTACTCGTCCTCAAATCCCACTTGATTTTGACAGTATTTGCAATTTCATCAATGCGGTTTTTGTTCTGCAAGTTAAAACTACTCCAATGGAGTTTCAACGTAACGCCAATAAACGTGCTGGACAGATAACTGATGGGTTTGAGTAGGAAACGTTGATATCTTTACAAATTTTTGTATTCCTGTTACAGTAATGCTCCGGAAGACGGCAATAGTGCCGTGGCTACTCTTAGTCAGAGTCAACATTTGAAGTTGAAGGGTCAGATGATGTTGATGACTTCCGGAGGGCATATTATGTACCTCTGCTCACCATATGTCACCTCTATTCCTGAACTACTTCAATATGGACTACGGTTGACTGCTATGCCGTTGCATGACGCAACTCGGGATTTGATTCTGTTGAATCAGCAAAGACTTTCAGATGTGGAAATGAAGTGAGAGGGAAAGTTACCGTTGAAAATATTTATGGATTCTTTAGTTTACAACTCGAAGCTAACAATGAGCAATTGGAAAACATGGCAAAGGATCTGGAGGTGGAGAAGGGTAAAACAGATGCATTATTGCGTGAAATGCTTCCACCATCTGTCGCTCAACAATTGAAACAGGGACTCAGTGTAGATGCAAGTAAGTTTAGCGTCTACTTTTGAGTCTATATACAGTACCGATCAATAATATATACAAAAAACGTGTTTTTCAGTTGCTTTCAATCATTTTCAAGAGTCTAGGGCTCAGCTTTAAAGTGTCCGAACGCTTTAAAAATTATGGAGGATGTAAAACAAAACTAGATTGAAAACTTTGCATTCACATAATTTTTGTAAAAGTTCCTTGTTCTTTGCCGATTTTCGAAGGACACCTTTTTCTCATGTTTTTGTAAGGAAAATGTGGATAAATAAGGCGTCTTTTGAAAATCGGCTGATAGCTGAAAAACTAGTAATATTCAAAAAATTTTGTGAATGCAAAGTTATTAATTTAGTCCTGTTTTACACCCTCCAGAGTTTTCAAAGTGATGGTACACTTGACTGCCGGGCTCCAGGCTCCTGAAAATGGTCAAAGTCCACAAAAAACACACATTGACATTCATGTTCTAACTTTCATGTTCTAACGACTTCATGTTCTAATTTATTATTTCAGGAGAATACGAAGAGGCTACTGTAATGTTTACGGATGTCCCAACGTTCCAACAGATTGTTCCTCTTTGTCAACCCAAAGACATAGTTCATTTGCTCAATGAGCTCTTCACCAAATTCGACCGCTTGATTGGTATTCAAAAAGCCTATAAAGTTGAAACAGTTGGAGACAGCTACATGTCGGTTGGCGGAATCCCGGATACTGTAGATGATCATTGTGAAGTTATCTGCCATTTGGCTCTGGGAATGGTCATGGAAGCTCGCACAGTTTGCGACCCTATCACCAGCACCCCGTTGCATATTCGTGCTGGAATTCATTCAGGGCCTGTTGTAGCAGGTGTTGTCGGCGCAAAAATGCCAAGGTAATGCCTACATAATGACTACAAAAGAAGAAGAACATAGACAATTATGATAATAATGAGTCATTTGCCTTTTCTCTCTCCCACCCTTGTTCACCAATTACAGATACTGCCTGTTCGGTGATACCGTGAATACTGCATCTCGAATGGAGAGTCATAGTCCAATTGGACGAATCCATTGTTCGGAGAATGCGAAAAAGTGCGCTGAAAGTACCGGTCGGTTCGAATTCGAACCGCGTGGCAAGGTTCAAATCAAGGGAAAGGGCGAGATGAATACATACTTTTTGCTGCGCAGCTTCAAGAGATCAATTTGGGAGATCATCGACCGCAGAAGAGGTTATTTCTATCGACACATGCCATGAAAATTGGGTGTGAGAAAAAAAAAATGAGATAATCATCTTGACACTTTTCAGATGAGAATTGCAACAGCATCGATGGATACAATGAACTGCGTGAAGGCTACGTTGACGATGTCATCAACAAGACCACACAGAAGAATTCAAAGACTTGCTCCATATCTTGATCTTTTTGGGACTTGAACTAATTTTGAAATGTTTTTTTTTTCACATTTTTCACGACTCATTATTTAGCTTTACTCGATACTATATTTTTGAACTATTCCATACATTTGAAACAAAAAATAAACTTATGTATTTTTGATCTTGAATGCCTAATGGTGGTCAGGTTTGCGTTCATCATGCTTGATCTTTATGAAGTGCGCGCCTCTCCTCTTAACTTATTGTTTATCTTTATATTTTATGAGGCGTACTTGCCGCTAAACAACTTCCGGAAAAAAGATAAGGATTTCGAGAAGCGGCGCTTGTTTTCTCCCGAAAACGATGTTCTTATGTTCTTCAGTCATGAACATGCATGCTCGGGCTGAGCAGGCATGTTAAAAAAGCTTTTCGCGTTTTATTATTTTCCGACAGTCAGGAGCATGGTAGTTCTAGATATTTGAAAAGAATTTCACTGTTTTCAGCTGAACTGATTCATAAAGCACAATTTTTTTTAAAATCCCTCTTGAAGTGTGTTGGTATCCTGAAAAAGTTGAACACCCGTATATCCTCTAGTAAGAGCTCACGAAAATCGTAAACTTTGAGTTCGATTATCTTGATTCCTGTGAGAGATATCAAAAATGTGTCAACTGATAAAATGGTTGTGATATTATGCTGAACAGTTTATAAGTTGACACCTTATTTATATCTTTGACGGGAACCGAGATATATTGGCTCGAAGTTAAAAACTAGAAAATACTTCTAGAAGCTTACCCAAACCGTCAAATTTAGGCTTTATGTTCTCGTTTCTTTTGAAAGACATCAGAAATGTGTCAATTGATAGAATGTTTGTGATATTCTCATGAATAATTTTATCAGTTGACGTTTTTCATATCTTTGACAGGAGCCGAGAAAAAAATGCTTAAAGTTAACAGTTAGGAAGCCCTTCTCTTATAGATTTTCTAGTTTTTTAAAATTTCTAAATTGAAGAAACATCTAAACTTTAAAGGAATTTTTAACTTCAAAAGAGTCTAATTGAAGTTCTTAGAGACTATTATAAAACTTGAGTAAACAGGAAACTTTATCAAACATTTTTAATTCTTGATTTTCGAGGTTCCAACAGTCCCAACACTTTTTTCTCAGAATTTCTTACTAATTATGGTAATTGGAACCGATTGATGATTAGTGCGAAGCCTGTAATAGGAAGCACCCTATTTCTTAACTTTGAACACATTTATCTCGATTACTGTTAAATATATTGAAAAGTTGTCAACTGAAAATATGGTCAGCATAATATCGAAAAAATTTTCTCAGTCTACAGATTTTTGATATCTTTCGAAGGAACGGAGATAATTGAGCTTAAAGTGCACTTGTGAGGTGAGCTTCTGTTAGAGGATTTAAGGCTTTTTTTTTTGAAAGTTGGAACTACCTGATGATTGATAGCGAAATTTTAAAAAAAGAAGGAATGTTTGAGTTGATTTTCAAGCCTACTTGTATGACATCTGAAAATATCGTATCTTGTGTATTGAAACATTAACAATTGAACTTGGAAATTTTACTCTTGGAATTTCTCTAGATTCATCAAGGTGTGACCATCATCTACGATTAGCGTAACAATGATTTTATCTCTCTCTCTCTCTCTCTCTCTCTCTCTCTCCGACTATTTATCGTTATTGCGCAAAACGAAAAACGGCTAAGTTTATCATCGCCCGAATCATCATCATTATCCCGTCTATTAGTCTATCCATCTTCCCCCACCTCCCATATAAGTTGACTTCAAAATTCTTCGTTGGCCTGGCCAATCGGTTCTTCCCAAAAAGGTGGCAGCATTTTCCTCGCTTCAATTTCTCGTTTCGTTTGCATTACCCCTCTTCTCCGCCTTTTCTTCATCTCTCTTTCTGCCTTTGCTTCCCGCCAACGACACAATAGAAGTTGTTCCTGTTCCTCTTTTTCCATCTATACCCTCCGATGTGATGATGCCTACCTCTGGGGTACCTGGGCGATAAGGCTCATATCAAATGAAACAAGCATGATCGCTAACGAGATGGAATCCCTGTCTCTCTCCTATCCTCATCAGACGATGTCTAACAATCCATGATCATCATTTGTTTGTTCTCTCACCAACCTCAAAGTTCGTTTTTTTTTCATTGTCAGCGGAAAAGTATCCAGAAGCAGTGTCTTTCTTCTTTTTTCCTCCTCCTCCTTCCTTTTTCTTCCCATTTTGGTGTATCTTTGTTAGCGTGTAAGTGTTAGGCAACAAACCATAACCATTCTCAGTTTCTACTTTCACACTTTCCTGATTTCCGATTACTGGCGATGTCCACCTTTTTTCCACCAACTACAGTATACAGGTCGTCCATATTCTTGTATTTTTTTTCCACTTTTTCTTTTTCCCAAATGGGTCAAGCAAGGGTTTGAAAGCAAAAGGAATTTGACACAAAACTTGTCTGATTAGCAACATTTTATACTAATTTTTCATTTGGTCACTCATCACTAACTCACTTTCTTGTTTTTTCTTCCCAAGACGTCATTCTAAGTTTTTCACCTCATTCAAGCTTTCCGTTTTTCAGAATTCCGTTTTCTCATGATTCCGTTTCTTTTATTATTCGCAGCATTATTCGCAGTTGGAGTTTCCGGTAAGCTATTCTTCATATACAGTACCATTATCTTGCTTCTAGGAACAGATAGTCGGTGATTGAAACATTTTTTGTTTCATGAATGTACAGTTCCGGTCAATGAGACATACAAAAACATTTCAGTTAATTTTCAGCAAATTTGACCATTTTCAGAAGTCTGGAGGTAGGCTACCAAGTTTCCGATCATTTTGAAAATTTTGGAGGGTGTAAAACAAATTTAGATTAAGAACTTTGAATTAAAAGCAGATGTCTTTTAGAAATCGATAAATACCTGAAAAACTGGGAATTTTCAAAAAAAAGTCTGTAAATGCAAAGTTTTTGATCTACATCTGTTCTACAGCATCTGAAAATTTCAAAGTTATCAGAAATTAGCTCCAGGCTTCTGAAAATAGTCAAAGTCCTATTGACCGATGTTATATGAGCAGAGCTCTCTGAAGGAGCTATTTTCATTCAAGAGTTCTCTAAATGACTTTGCTACAGTAATCCACATTTTACAGGTTTCGGTGCTCCTGGAATAGTCCCACCTGAAAGTTTCATTGCTGAGCGATGGTACCCATCAAATCTCCCTACCGTAATGCCACCATGGAAACTAGCAGGAGTAGATATTTCGCATTTCCGAACTGCGAGACCCCATCAGTCTCCAGGTACGAATCCAATCACTACAACACCAGTAGCCCCAACGAATTCTCTTCCCATGCCACCTGGAACATCTTCACCGACGTTATCTTTGGCAGAAGTTTCTAGCAATGGTCCCCATCCTCCTGCACCTCCACCGTCTTCCGTGGAGGCTTCTGGACTTCCATCAAGCTCTGAACAAGATGAAGATGCTTCAGTTCAGAATTCAACAGCTCCTACAAGCACCGAAGAACTCATGACTCTTGGTGTAACAGCTACTAACATTCAAACCGAGAAGCCAGAACAGGGAGTTCTAAAAATTCTGTCTCCAGTTTTTGAAGATATTACAAAAGCTGATAACATCAGCGATTCTGAAGAAGTCCTTCGAGTGAATTCCGAGAAATCTGTGGAAGGTAGTGGAGACAACGAACCAGAGTTGATGTCCACTCTGGAGACAACGACCACCTCGTCTACGACGTCGGTGTCATTTACCACCTCTACAACTAAAACAATGACTTCTTCTGCTTCTTCTTCTACTTCTTCTTCTACTACATCTGAATCATCAACAACAACTGAGAAACCCGTAACTGAACCAATCACTTCTTCTACAACCTCATCTTCTACTACAACTACTACCACACTTCCTACCACGACCTCATCATCATCCACATCAGCAACAATTCGGGATGAAGAAGTGACAAAGGCACCTAAATTGAAATTGGATATCAGCAACACGACTAAGTTGCGGCCAACAAAAGGTGGGTGAAGGCTAGAAATTCAAAAAGGGAGGTGTGAAATGTAGGCGATTTGATTTCCAAATATGTTACACATACTGGAAACCACACATGTTTGTTTGTCCCCCCAAGTGATTAGAAATTACAAATCAAGTTCTTTTCAATCATTTTTCGTTTCTAGAATGCAAAGACATTCTCTTCTTGTTGGACTCGAGCGGAAACGTGGTGCAGCAATACGAGAAACAAAAGAAGTATATCGAAGAAATTGTTCACCAATTGGAAGCGGAACACCCTCGTCGAGTTAGTATTTTTGAACCAGGAAGGGGAAATGTTTAGTTTTCCTCGAATGACGATGACTAATTCGAGATTTATTATTTTTTTATTCAGATGGCCTTGATCACGTTTGCCGGCAGAACACGGCAGAAGATTGTGGTTCCGCTACCAGAGGCACCAAACGGAAGCAAATTCGTCGAGAAATTGAGAAGTTGGTTTAAGAAAGGGGTGGAATACGGAAAACTGTATTTTGGAAAATCACTTTGCAAAATACTACGTTTTTGATGATGATCAAAACACATTATTGGATTAGTACACAGTTTTCTGCACTTTTTTGGAATCAAGCTGATATGATTTAGTAGTGACATTTTTTTTGAAAAATATGACCGGAAAAATATTGAAAACAATAATTTTTAGAACTCCTGAAGAGGAAAAATTGAGAAAAAATAGATTTTTTTGATACATCAGTATTTGCTGGACGTTAATAGAATGACAAGACAACCCAACCCGTCAACTTTGACCCAATATATCTCATTTCGTGTAAAAGATATATGTAAAAAATATTAAAATGTTTGTAATAATATCACCGACATTTTATCAGTTAACACCTTTTGACATCTTTCACACGAATCTTTGACGATTTGGTTGAGCTTCTTTAAGAGCAACTACGGTAGTTTATGTAGGATAAATATAACTGACACATAACGTGTTAGTTCATTTTTGTTTAGATGGAAATGCCATTTTGTCAAATATCAGTTATTCATGTTTTGTTTTAACATTGAGCCCTTTCCTGTAGACGATATTGAAAAGTTGTCAGATGATAAAATTTTGATCACTACTTTAAAAATGTTCTATTAGCTGACAATTTTTAGATATCTCATAAAGGAATAGAGATACATCTGCTCAATGCTAAAAGTTGAAGGGTCATTTTATTACAATGCCCTCCAGACCGTCAAATTTGAGCCTATTTACCTGATCTTCCGTAAACGATATCTAGAAGTTGTGAACTAATAAAACATTAGCCACAATATGATGAACATTTAAATAGCTGACAACTTTTCAATATCTTTGCAGGAGTTATGATAAATTATCTCAAAGTTGAAAGTTTAGGGGATCATCTGTCAGCCTGCTTACGTTATCTTCTGTCCTATGAGAAATATCAACGTTTTGTTAACAATTAAAATATCTGTTATAATATTAACAGCATTCTTCAAATTAGTAATAGTTGATGTCTTTGATAAGAAATTAGATATTCGAGTTCAAAGTGCAGGTATAATTTTACGTTCTATTAGAGCCATTATTTTACTAGAACATTCATAAATAAATATTTAGAACAAGCTGACGAAATTATGCTCATTACTAAAGAATTGTAACCTCATATTACCAAAAATCTCTCATTCCAGAAGCACGCTTCTTGCGAGGAGTCACCGCCGCCGGAGCAGCCATCTCGGTTACAACACAATATGTTCTTCAGAAAAACCGACCTGTACAGGTCGTAGTCGTCACTGATGGATTCTCATTTGACGATGTTGTTAGGCAAGCTGAAGCGTTGAGGTAGATTCCGGATAAATTTCTTTTGTGAATTTCTTGCTTTTTTCAGAGCCGTGGTTGGAATGGAGACGTTCGTAACTGGTAGATACTTCCCAGTGGTTAGGTGAGTTACCAGGCACTGATAGTCTGTGATTTTTTCGAAATTAATGTACAATGAACAACCGTTCCTTATCTTTTCTTTGGCGTTCTTAATGATATCATATGTTTACTGATAACGATTGCAAATCATAGATTAGCTTTTCCCGACTACAGTTCGTTCACTCACAGATTTCTGGTTGCTTGTCCGAAAAAAACTTATTCGAATATCTCAGAAACCTTAGATGGGGAAGAGGATTTGCAAACTTTGAAAAAACAAACACAAACAATTGCAGAAATGTGTTGCATTCGATCGGTGGAGCTGATGATCATGTTTTCTTTGACAAGAAAGAGCAGCGTCTCGTCGATGCATTGCAATGTTAAAAATGACCAGCATTTTCCTCTCCTCTCTTTCTCTCTCTCATCCGTCTGTCAGTGTGTGTTGTGTGCCAATTCCCCCGTGGTATACTTCTTTATCCAAAGATTCGATAGCCGATTTGCGACGTTTTTCCCCCTCAGATGATCTCAATTTGATTTACTTTAATAATAATGTTTTCTTTTCTTGTTTCCTATCGCGGTTGCTCTACTTTTTTACATGTTTTTTTGTATGTATATTGTCAATTCAATAAACTTTGGAAAATATGATTTCTAGGAATTCCAATTAAAAATGTAGATCAAAAATCTGATGAGAATTCAAATTTCGATTTCCAAATGTAATTTTGAGAGAAAAAAGGTATAATTGAATTTCAGTTTTTTCTACGAGAATTGAATTTTGATTCCATTTCAATATAGGTGATTTCTTATTAACTGGAAATTCTTAATTCTTTTTTTTATAAAAAAGTAGTTTTTTTGAAAATGTAAAAAAATTAACTTTTACAACGTTCGTATCAATTACTAGTTGATAAGATATAAAGATGGATTTACGGTCATTTTCAGAAGTCTTGAGCTCCGCTGTCAAGTTTCTGATGACTTTGAAATTTTTGGAGAATGTATAACAGACCTAGTTTGAAAACTTCAAATACATAGAATTTTTTTAAAAATCCTAGTTTTCCAGATATTTGCTGGCATGTGTTTTCGGTCTGTTTTGCACTGAAAATTACACGAAAACGGCAATATCTGAAAAAATAGAATTTTTCGAAAAATTCTGTGAATGCAAAGATTTCAACCCAAGTATGTTTTAGATAGCCGAGCATTAATTTCCTCAAAGTGGTCAAAATGACCAACAATCCGCCGAAAAAATACGTTTCTGTATTTCTTATTCATTGGTACTGTATATTGTTTTTTATAATTATCAGAAAAGATTATAATAAATTATTTTCTACAATGTAAATTAATATTATTCCTAAAAATTGCTTTCCAAACCTTCAAATCACAATTTTCATTTAAAAACCCTATTGAGAAATTTAACGAAATCTGAAAAATGAGCATTTACGCTAGTTTTTAGTACCGAACAATTGCAAATTTTTTGCTGATTCTAAAAATATATAATTTGTTTCTATTCGATCAACAACAGATGGAGAAAATCAGATAAACTGATTTTGCTCCGCACACTACGCATATGCACGAGATGTGCGTCAACCGCCGCACTTTGCACATCTCGCGGCGCAAACACATGAGCCCTCCATCCCCTTGTCTATTTTCCGCTGACTATGGCAAAATTCGTCAAAAACTAAAAGTAGAACAGCATTAAAATGTCAGAAAGCGGAACGCAAATAAACCAAACACCCTCCTTTTTTCTTTCTCATCAGTAGTTTCCATTCTTGTGACGCGTTTTATTTTCCTATTTCAACAAACATTTTCTTTTGTCGAATAATTTATAATGTCTCTTTTGTCCTTCCTCTATTCCTTTTCGGCGACGATCCTTTCGCACCTTATCTGTTGATCCAACGCTTTTTTGCCACTTTTACGCGTTTTTTATTGCTTTTGGTGGGTGATTTTGCTTGAAAACTGCTTTAGTTGATACCGTCTTGGTTTCACAAGTGATCTGAAGATTTCTGAGAACTTGAAAAAGGATGTTTCGGTAGTTTAGATTGTTTTCTCTAGCAGGAACTCTTTATTTTTTTCTGCAAACCCCTTTGAAAAAGTATTAAAATCTGAAATTAGGGTTTTGAACTATTCAATGTTCATTTCAAAACATGTTTCTTTCTAGTCTTATAACCTTCGCCAGTGAAAAAAGCCTGACCTTATGAAAAACCGGCTCTAATAATCAACATCATTCATTTTTCTTTGTCTCTCCACCATCTTGTTATTATTTTTATTGATTTTTCAGACCTCTCCTCCCGCTCTCTGTTCAGCCCACTCGCTGAGCGAGAAGATTGTGTTTACATTCGATTCTCTATCGCTCAACTATTATTGATCCGTTTCTCCAACTGTATATCTATTTTTATTTTTCCTTTTTTTTCAGGTTGTATCTTCACTCAAACTTGTCCCCGTTTTTCTTCCGGGCCGTGCTGGCTCCCGTCCGGACTGCCCCCCTATGAATGGCAAAACAGGTACGGTCTATCACGCGGGGTCATTATAGAGAGGGATAAATGGATATATTATCCCGAATAGTCAAAGTCAACAACAACCACAAGTTTGAAATTTCGTTTTGAAATCTTCGGAAGAAAAGAATAAACTTTGTTCCTAGTCCGCATAACCACCTGTTGACCTGTGGGTTTCAAACGCTCTTTGCTGTTTGGCACGTTTTGTCAATACGCCTATTGATCAGTTGTTTGTCATGATCTTTAATCTATATGTACGCTACGTCAGATATTATTCATGATTTCAATTTCTACAAGAAGGTCAGATGAGAAAGTTAGTTTTATTTGAAGAATCAAAACCACTTGGCAATCTTTATAGACATTGAAATCCTTTTAAGATAAGATAAAAAAGAAGCAAAACTCGAAATCCCCCGTATTCAAAACTGTGTCACGTGTTGACAAGAATAAATAACACCCGTCATCTCGGTCTTATCAGTCTTATCGCACCGATTGATGTCTTCGTGCACTTCTATCGTCTCCTGAGAACTCTCTATGGTCGTTTTCAGAACCACAAAACATGACGGTTGCCAGTCAGTCCATTGAAGAATTCAAAGAATGTTTATATCACGTGAGTTCATTCTCTTTTTTTCAAAATTTTTAACATACAGTAGTGTCAATAAGATTAGAAAAACGTCCTTTTCAGCTAATTTTTGGCCATTTTGACAATTTTCAAGTGTCTAGTGCTCGGCTGTAAACTTTCCGATAACTTTGAAATTTTCAACGGATGTAAAACGAACCTAGTTTGAAAATTTTGCATGCTCAATATTTTTTTTAAATTCCTAATTTTGAGCTATTAGCAGATTTCTGAAAGACACGCATTTCTGCACTGTGAAGGTGAATAAGCAGGCGTCTTCTAGAAAACGCGAATAATTGAAAAACTAGGAATCTTTGGAAAATTCTATAAATGGTAATTTTTAATCTAGATCTGTTTTATACCCTTCCAAATTTTCAAAATGATCGGAAACTCGATAGCCAAGCTCTAGGCTTCTGAAAATGATCGAAGTTACCAAACATCAACAATAATTGAGAACAAAAAAAATTTTAGATGCAAGAGACGCGGAAGTTGTTGACCATGCAGTTGCTGGCAACTGGGAAAATCACTTCGGCAGAGATACAAATTCTAAAGAGAACACTAGAGGTAATCGCTTGGATCACTATATATCCGTTTATTTTGAATTTCAGGAAATGCAAGACGAGCGGACAACAGACTTCTACATTCGACACATTCACTCAAGGGGAGCCACATTTGCCATTAACATCAGAGATGAGATTTTGGGACTTAAGAAGGATTTTTTGTTCTTGGAGAACTTTGCGTCAGAGTGTGAAAGCGAAGAATCGTTTACGAATAGACTAAAGCTGTGTGACCTGCCAGGATTGTTATCCAATAATCAGATCGATATTCGTCTCATGAATGGATTCGCAGAGGAGGTTGCAAAATGTAAAGAATTCTTGATGGATTTGATCACGATTGAGTCTGATGGAATTAAGCCACTTTTTATCACCGACTGGGATGGAACCATGAAAGATTATTGCTCTCAGTACGCCACTAACTTGCAGGTGAGTCCAGATTACTTTAAAACCTGCAATAGAAGGGCTCCCGCACTGTCAAGATTAAGCTAATTTCTCTTTGCTCCTCTGCAAAATATCAAAAATGCATCAACTAATACAATGTTTGTGATATTATAACAGGCAATTTATCCGTTAACATCATTTTTATATTTTTCACAAGAACCGTGATGAATCAGCTCAAAGATAAAAGTTAGGGGGCCTTCCTATTGTTTCACGGTAGTTGTAATATAAAAACCAGGAATCTAATAAATCCTATTTCCAGCCAGCCTACAGTGCTATTGTCATGGGAGTATTCGCAAGAAACTTTACTCGCGCCTTTGCTGTCCTCACTGCTGGCCCACTCCGTCACCCTGGAATTCTCGACTTGACTTCTCTTCCAATCGACGGACCAGTCATGTTCAGTGGGTCCTGGGGACGTGAATGGTGGCTTGGAGGACGTCGAGTGGTTCACGATGATGGAATCCCTGAGGAAGGAAGTGTAGCCATTGGACAACTTTACGAACAGCTCGAAGAGATTCTTCATGAAGGAGAATTCGTTCAATTTGCTTTGGTTGGAAGCGGAGTTCAGAAGAAAGTTGATCGACTCACTCTTGGAGTACAAACCGTGTTCGGACAAGTTCCAAAAGAGCTTTCCGCCAAATATATCGATGCAGTCAAAGAACGAATTCATCGTGTGGACCCCAACAGCCAATATCTTATTCTGGAAAATTGCTCACCACTCGAGATCGAAGTTTGTGTTCATTCATCAGGTATTAATGCAGTTATGTGGCTTATACATAAAGCTATTGGTTTCCAGGAGCCATTTGGAACAAAGGAGACGGAGTTGCAGCTCTCGTTGAGTTTAACAAGGACTCCTTGAAGCTTGGAAAAGTATGTGTTGCTGGAGATACCACGAGTGACCTTCCAATGCTTCAAAAGGCAGCCCAGGAGAATCCAACAGTGAGTTTATTTTTTGGGATTGTCGTCAAATGTTATTCTTTCAGCAAGTTCGTGCTTTGTTCGTCAACGTTAACAAGGAAATTCAAAGCACCATTAACAAAATAGTCGGAGATAGCTCACGTACCTGCTTCATTTCCTGCCCTGATGTCGCCCATGCCGCCTTCGCCCAAATTATCATTGAATTGACCCAGAACGCTTGAAAAACTGCTTTTCAATTTTTCAAAATTTGATGTTTGATGGAGAACTGGTTGTTTGTCAACTACCATCCTCCTCCCTGGTCAACCGCCTAATCCTTATCGCCGTTTACGATCGATGACTGGCCGTCCACGCAGTCTGCAACCTTCCAAACCTGCCCCGTCGTTTTCTCTGTGTCTCCAATACACCCCATACTCTCCCACTGTCCCTCTCTGCACGTCCAACAGTTTTTTCTTTTCCAATCTCTTTCTGTGTTCTTATTTACCTGATTTGACCACGTGACTTTTCTGGGGTTCAATTTCTCTACGAATTTCGTTTTTTATTATACTTCTTTATCATTTTTCAAACAATCTCCCATTTAGTCGCCATAGGTTTTCCTAGTTTTCATTTACCTCGTCGTCCCTTATATAATTTTAATAACTCTAGTCGGGTTTTGCATTTCTTTTTCAATTTTGATTCCCCCTTCCCCCTTCTCTCCAACATGTGTTGTCGCAGTCTATTTTATTTTTTTTGTATAGCTGGTCATAAATTTTTTTAAATTGATGATTTTTGTTTTTTTACTGGACTTAAGTTTGTGTCGTGCTGTTCAGGGAAACTATTTGAGTTATTAAATTTGTTGAAGTGAGAAATTCCATTTTTCCAGCATGTTGGGCCAGCGAGCGGCAGCCGTTGGGCGTTTTTGGAAGCACAAACGTCATTTCAATAGTCTAGCTTGCACCGGATCAGAATATAGTCGTGAAGATCATGAACAGTCTTACTGTAGGACCCACAAATAAGAAGCTATTGAAAAACAAGAAGTTTGCAGACAAGTACGCATATATCGCCGGTGCAGCCGCTGTTGGAATGCTCGGAGTTCAACAATTCATGAGAACCGCGAAATTGGATCATGCAAAAGAGGAAAAGAATCTTAAGAAGCTGGCAAATCTTCCAATGTACGCACAAGAAGAAGTCAAAAAGCATGGAAAAGATGCTGACAGAATTTGGGTCACTTATAAAGACGTAAGGCTCATTTTCCACTTTTCAAACTTTGTGAGTAAGATATTAGGTTGGCGGGAAAGTCTTTGTCACTCTGTTTGTTTAATCACTGTTCTCGTATATGGAGGCTGTGTATGATATCGACTTTAGTGAATAACAAGGTGATAAGAACCTTCCATATAAACAAGTCCCCATCTCCTTCCCTGCTCCTCATCTGTAATTGAAACGATATGTTTGTTCCCACTGCTATTCACATCAGACATGTTTTGATTTACCTCTTCCTATCTCACACCACGATGAAGGATTCGGAAACTTTCTTGAAGAATGTGTACAACACACATGCCCCTCACTACAATACTATTCGCAATTGGTTCCATCGTTTCGAAAAAGATGACTTCTCGCTCAATGAAAAGGATCGCTCTGGGAGACCCCGTGAGTTGGATTTGGACAAGCTGAAGCACGCATTGCAATCGGATCCATTTCAATCTAGCCGTGAACTAGCTGTCACATTCGGAGTTCACCATAGCACAGTCCTTGAAGGTTTGAAGTCTCTTGGAATGAGAAAACTTTTTGGTCGATTCATACCTCATCACCTGACTCAAGCCAACCTTGACCGCCGAGTCGACGATTCGATTACTCTTCTCACTCTCCACGCGGGCGATCGATGGCTGGACCGGCTAATAACCGGAGATGAGAAGTGGGTCTTCTACGATAATCACCACAGGAAATCCCAGTGGGTTGGAGAAGGAGAGAGCCCACAGGATGTCCCCAACCCGACCTTCATCCGAAAAAAGTTATGCTCTCTGTGTGGTGGGGAGTGGACGGCCCCATCTACTGGGAACTTCTGCCCGAGGGCAAAACAATAACTGGAGACCTCTACACTACTCAACTACGAAACCTCAAGAAAGCAGTCGACCGTTCGGCCCTGAAAGACAAGAAAGTGTACTATCAACATGATAACGCTCGCCCACATGTTTCGAAACAAGTGAAGCAGGAGCTGATGGGATATGGATGGAATGTTCTCCCTCACCCCCCGTATTCTCCTGATCTTGCTCCTTCCGACTATTGGTTATTTGGCGATATGACACGTGCCTTCGAAGGAAGAAGCTTCAATTCCCGTGGAGCGGTCGAAGCGGCACTCAAACAATACTTTGCCTCACGCCCGGCTGGATTCTACCGCAATGGAATCCATAAATTGAGGGAACGTTGGAGACATGTTGTTGATAATGATGGACAATATAATTAATTATTCGGTTATTTTTTCTTTGAGAAATAAACTATTGAAAAAGTGACAAAGACTTTCCCGCCAACCTAATATTTCAGGGTGTCTACGATGTGACCGACTTCATTTCAATGCATCCTGGAGGTGATAAGATTCTCCTGGCTGCTGGGGCAGCAGTAGATCCATTCTGGGCGCTCTACAGTCAACACAAGACAGCTGAAGTGTTGGAGATTTTGGAAGGGTATCGAATCGGAAGATTGGATGTGAAAGATGTTCCAAAAGTGAGTTTTTGTTTGATTTGGAACTGGTTTTGCTCAAAACGGGAAAAATCACATTACAGGACTATCTTGATCCATTTAAATTTGTAAGTTTGAATTAGAACCATTGGATTACAAAACAAATCTACAGTACCGCTCAAAAAGATGAAAAACGTACATTCCAGTTAATTTTTGACTATTTTTATTTTCAAAAGTTGGAAGCTCGGCCTTCAAGTTTCCGATCACTTTGAAAACTTTAGAGAGTATAAAACCGACCTAGAATAAAAACTTTGTATTCACAGAATTTTTCGAAAATTTCTAGTTTTTCAGCATTCCGCTGATTTTTAAAAGATTTCTTTTTGACCTGCTTTTGTGAAAAAAATCGGTTTTTTTTCAAAAACCGGCAAAAAGTCAGAAAAATAGAAATATTCAGAATATTAGTGAATGCAATGTTTTTATTTAGGCCCTCATAAAACGGCTAAAGTGGCCAAAATCTGACTGGAAGATACGTTTATATAAATCTTCATGGTCGATAATGTATAGTATAATCTACCCGCTCGTCAAACCTTACCCATGTTTGTATTCGTTTTGCAGGCAGAACCGGATGCGTTCTCAAACGACCCGGAACGCCATCCAGCTCTACTGGTGCGTAATGCCAAGCCATTCAATGCCGAATCCCCTCCATCCCTTCTCACCGATCACTTCTATACACCTAATGAACTGTTCTTTGTCCGCAATCACCTTCCAGTTCCAGATGTATTTCGAAAAAAAGGAGACAATCGTAACAATACTAACGTTTTGCAGATTAAAACCGAAGATCATCGTCTCACCATCGAAACGATGAATGGGAAGACAATCGATTTGTCTGTGGATGAGTTAAAGAAGAAATATAAGTCTTACACGATTGGTAGCGTTATTCAATGTGCTGGAAACAGAAGAGCCGACATGAATCAGTACAAGAAAGTGCAAGGATTGATGTGGGAGGGTACAGCCATCAGTAATGCAGAGTGGACTGGTGTTCGATTAAGAGTAAGTCAGCATAATCCAATTTTCACAACGAAATTCTTGTATCAGGATATCCTTGCCGACGCTGGAATCGATGTGTTCGATGAGAAAATCAAACATGTGCACTTCGAAGGTTGCGATGTGGACCCGACTGGCACACCGTATGGAGCATCTATTCCAATGGAAAAGGCTAGAGGGAACGAAGTTATTGTAGCTTATCATATGAATGGTGTGGATATTCCAAGAGACCATGGAGCACCATTAAGAGTCATTGTGCCAGGAAATGTGGGAGCTCGTCAAGTGAAATGGCTCCGCAAAATTATTGTCAGTGAGAAAGAGAGCGATAGTCATTGGCAGCAGAAAGATTACAGGTACACAAAAACGTATTTTCATTCAATTGTTGACTATTCTCCCCATTTTAAGGGGTCTGGAGCTCCGTTATCAAGTTTAAGACTATTTTTAAAATGTTGTAAGGTGTAAAACGAACCGAGATCAAAAACTTTGCATTCACAGAGTTTTTGGAAAATGTCTGGTTTTTCAGCTATTTGTTGATTATTGAAGGACACTAATTTTTTACGTTCTCGGTACAAAAACAGGCCAAACTAGGCGTCTTCAAGAAAACGGCCAATAGCTGAAAAACTAATAGCTTTCAAAACGTTCTGTTAATGCAACATTCTCAATTCAGGTTTGTTTTACACCCTCCAGAATTTTCAATGTGATCGGAAACTAGAAAATCGAATTCCAAACTCATGAAAATTGGCAAATTTAAGCTGAAAAAAAAACGTTTTTGTATTTTGTGACCAGTATTGTACATCTTATGGTACACAAAAGAAAATTACTTTCAGAGCCTTCTCTCCTGCTGTCAACATCGGTGACGAGCTGAAATGGGACACCGTACCATCCATCCAAGAGTATCCTGTTCAATGCGCTATCTGCACACCAGCTCCTAACACCAAAGTTGATCGTGACGATGGAACTGTCGACATTTCCGGATACGCATGGAGTGGTGGTGGCCGTGGTATCATCCGAATCGAGATCAGTGTTGATGGTGGAGAGACATGGAGTAGTTGCGAGATGGAGCAAGAAGAGAAGCAAGACAAGGAGCACATGTACGCGTGGACACTGTTCCGAACTGAAGTGAAGATTCCGCCAGGAGTCAAGGAGTTCAATATCATTGCCAAGGCAGTTGACAGATCCTATAATACTCAACCAGAGACCGCTAGTGGTATCTGGAATGTTCGTGGCCTGATCCACAATGCATGGCACCGTGTTCCAATTATTGTAAAGGACTAGAGTATTTTGTAACGCGTCGGGCTGAATTTCTGATAGTTAGATTTTCTTGAGTTTCCTCAAACATTCCTTTATAGTCAGATCTCTAGTTCAGTTCGGCTCCTATTTTTCTACTTACGTTTTCTGTATTACATACCAGTGAATACTTGCCTTATGTTCAAATAATGTGGTTACGATAGAAATGTGATAGTTGATATTGGTATTCGAATAAAAGTTTTCATTTAGCGAAGTGTTTTTCAAAAAAGTGACAAGTTATTCAAAATTGATCATGTCATTGATCGCTGGACACTGGAATCGGTCTCTAGTTCTGATGAACGAGCCGGAGAAGAGTCGAGGTCTTGCCATATTCTCCCAGCCTTGACGAGGGTCTTTTGATTTGAACTCGAATGACTCTCCGTTGGATTTCAAGCAATTCATGTTTACGTTTCCGACATTCAACACATTATAAAACTCCTCGTCAACACCATTGCTCCAGTCTTTGACGCCGTTGTACATATCAGAGATTTTCATTGTTTTGCCATCCATACCATGTCTGAAAACCTTATTCAATGAAAATTCGCATACTTGTGAACTGGGTCTTTGCCGGGGCTTCGCAGGCCTTGCTATAGTTTCTTTTGAAACTATATTTTTGGACTAACTGACATGATAGAACTCAACAAGTACTACAAGATGATGTTATTTGGAAACCTGTATCCTGTCTAGGAACAAAGTTAGAAGCCATAAACCTGCTAATACCGGCCCTAACCGGCCCTAACCGTTTCGTCTGTAATTTTGTCTATAAACAAGATACAGTTTTCCAATTAATATCGTTTTGTAGTATTTGTCAGAATTACCCATAGGTATTTCAATTGATTCCAAAAAAAAATTATGACAGGGCCCGCGAAGACCCGACAAAGGTCCGGTTCACAGTTACGAAAATTTTTTAAAAATTACCTTTGCGAAAAATAAGCTCTCAATGTGCTGTTGGAAATCGCCGACTTGCAAACTTCAACTTCTGATGCTGGGTAGTAATAAATATAGTTGACGCACATTTCATCAGTGATTCCGTAACCTCCAAAAGTGACATTCGAGCGTCTTCTGGTGTCATAGACACAAGTAGTGACCAAAGTGTCTCCTGGCATGACACGGACCATTGGACGGAGCTGCTGAAGATGTTGCCAATGGGGAGAGTAGTGCTCATCTCTGTTGACATCTCCAATTTGGACACCATCACGGTATTGAGAGGTCCAGAGCTTTCTTCCAGTTAGATGAGCGTGCATTTGACTGGCGAAGATATTGATGCCTTCTTCGGGAAGCTGAAAGTGTCTGTTAGAGTTGTTAGGAGATTTTTGAAATTACATTCTGCGTGCATTGAGATGGACAATATCCATTCATAGCCCATGCTTTCTGATTTGGTGGTACTGAGTTGGCATCAGAGTAGATCAATCCAAGCTCCATAATTCCAGCGTCATATATTCTGAATTTTATAGTTTAAAATAGCCGTAACCAAAATAAAAACGGTACCTGAGCAATCCAGTAACATAAAATTGAAATCCAGATGTATCCATAACTCCTTTGTGAAGTTCTGGATTGTTATAGTGAATCTCCACCATCACATACTCATTCTTTCCCTTTCCTCCAATTGGAAGTCCGGCTTCTCTGGGGTAATGAATTGGTCCTTCTCCCATTGCCCATGCAGCAATAACATGACTACACGACTTTGACTTTTTCGGTTTCTTTGGGTCATTGCAGTTCCCACTCCACTCCTCCACTTCATCTCGGCAGAGGAAGACCTCCATGTGGTGGACCAGATGCTCATTTCCAGGTGTGATGTATGGTTCCATTCGGACAATGTGATAAGTTTTATGAACAGTGTCAAATGGCATTTTGCGAATGATACATTCGTAAGTTGTTTCTACATTTGGCACTGGATCAGGACTATTGCTGTTGACAATCACCAATTGAACATCTCTTTCCAGAGAGGATACACCTTCATCAGTACTTGGCTGATCAGTAGGTCCCTCGATCACTTTTCCAAACTTCTTGTCCTGTAAAATATACATTTTCATTTTCAGTATTATCGTTGTCTGAGAAAATCAAGGTTGAGAGCTAAATACTTTGTTCAATTTTTCTTGAAAGCGCAAGAGCGGAGGCCACCGTACTTTAAAGTTATCTTGAATATTATTTTCCTTTTTCTCTCAATTTTTGACAATTTTCACCGTTTTTCCGTTGTAATAGGTTCTCTTGGAGAAATACACCGGATGTAATTCAAAAAAGCTAGTACTAAATACGCATTACTTTTTACCAGCCTGATACATCAACAAAAAATGATTTGAAACACTGAAAATAGTTGGAAAAATTATGAAAATTGTCGAGAAATTGGTTAAATTGGAGAATAATGCTCAAAATAGCCTCGCAGTACGGTGGTTTGCGCATTTGCGCCTTTAAGTTTAACAAGATATTTCGCTCTAAACCTTGTTTTTCTCAGACAGCGATGATACTGGAAATTAGATATACAAAACACGTATTTCTCAGTTGGTTTTTGATAATTTTGACCATTTTCAGAAGTCTGTCACTGAGCTGTCAAGTTTTCGATCACTTCGGAAGCTTTGGATGGTGTGAAGCAGACCTAGATTGAAAGCTTTGCGTTCACAGAATTTATTTAAAATCCCTCATTTTTCAGTTACTTGTCGATTTCAAAAATACACCTGTTTTTTAAAATTTCCAGTACAAAGACAATTGATCGGAAACTTGATAGCCGAGCTCCAGTCTCCAGAATAAAGAGCCGAAAAGAAACTGAAAAGTACGTTGACCGGTACTGTAAGTTAGTGGGCATACCAAAATCCATTTCTTGTCCCTAATATCAACCAAGTTTCTGTATCCAAACGATGCGGCGATATAGAATTGGGTGGTTCCACGCTAAAAAAATTGATTTTGTTAAACTCATACTGTTTTGTGGTTTATACCTGAAAAGCGTAGTCTCTGGAATCACAAGTCGTCAACTTTCTCCGAACCACGAAATGATCCTTTCTTCTGCGGAGTTGTTGGAAGTCTTGCGAAAGATCAGGGATAATTTTGTAGTCGCGATTTGTATAGGAGTCCTAAAGTTTTCGCATGATTTTTTTTTCGGAAATCACTTCACACCATAATTTCTCTTTTTACATTGTCATACATCAGAACATCCGAGCTATTCATGTCTCCAAAGTCTGAAAATCCAAGGAACAAAAGATCAGGGGTCTTTGCTCCGAACCAAATCGAGAAGTCCACCGTTTGCCGTTCATAATCCGTTTGCCATTTGACAGTGACATTTGAGTGCAAGAGTTCCGCAACAATCTAAAAAAATTTTGTTCGCGAAAGGGATGTATGTATTCATTGTCATAGTTACCTCGCCACCATGGACCCCAATGTCGCATAGGACAAAGAAGAGGAGAGCGGCGGCGTTTGCACACTTCATTTGTTCTGAAATCGTATAGCAATGGCAAACAGAGGTCGGTTTCTAATTTTACAAAAAGATAAATTAAACTTCATAACCTTCCAGAACTGGAGAGTTTATACGACTACTATTATGAAGAGGAAGAAGAAGAACCTTACCTTTATTCACCTGGAGCCGGCGACTACCACAATGACCACGAAGATCGTATGACAGTAGAAACTGAAGAAAGTGAGTTAAACTGTAAAGCAAAAGAAAAAAGGAAGAAAAAAAAATACGCAGAATGACGCTATTTTTATTCCTTTTCACACCATGAACTGCCTTAAACGAGTAAAACTTTTTCAGTTAGTCTCCCACACCGTCTCGAAGATACTGAATACCCGGTGACGCAGTCGGTTCCATTTTATAGCGGCACTACGAATAGAGCCGAGTACACTTGGAAAGTGCCACACGGAAGAGAAAAGAGGTGATTGAAAAAGAGTGTGTCGGTGACATTTTTCAGGGTTCTGGACGGTGTGTATGTCAGAAACAGGAGAAGAAAGGGAATTGCAAAAAAAGGAAATATGAATAGGAAAACTCTAGATCCTATTATAAAAAACTACTAGATCCTCTTAAAATCAAGCTCACTCAATTTTCGGAAAAAATATATTAATTCACCAAGAGTGGGAGGTGCTTCTGAAAATATCAAGTTTTACGCAATTGTTCAAAGCTGGAAGTGTTTTTATGAGCAAATTAGACTTCCAAATGAATTTTTTCCCATTAATTACCTCGTTTAGGGTGCTAAGCTTGTTTTGTGTGAGCTGATAGTGTTTTTTGCCTGTGTAAAACTCAAATTATCCGTTCAAAGCATTTTCAGCTGTTAAAGGTACCTGCAACAAAGCGAGCTTGACCTTTGAGAGGTTAGCGGAGCGCCCTAAATCAGAGGATCTCTAAAAATGAAGTTTCCTAGATGACTAATTAGCCGCTGAATGACCGTTTGACATGAAAAATAATAATAACTATGCGAAAAAAACTCGTGCAAAAAGAAAAATTTGCGTAAAAATTGAAATTTCTAAGAACTTTTCAAAAAAAAAAGGTAAAAAAAAGATTACAGTATCCTTAAAACCGCCTGAAACTAGTTTTTGTTTTTATCTAGAGATTAAACCATTTTTCATGTCAAAAATTCGATAAAAGTTTATCCCGCACACGCCTGACACGCAACGCATTACAAATTACAGAGAAACGACTGAATCTGAGCTTGGCGAAGCTAAAAAAATCCCTTTTTATTCTGAAACAACGCATCGAAGCCAATATCAGCCATTGGATCCAACCGTCCAACGGACACGCCTTTCAAGAAAAACAACAGCTCTTCCCACGTAATTGAAAAATGTTTCATTAAAACGTCTTGTCACAGGTCAATCTTACAGATCAAACGTGCCGATCGAGACGCAAACCACATATCGCAATTTGTTTCAGGAGCTGGAAATAGGAAAACGTCAGAAGCTGGTGAGGAACTTTGTCTTGTTTGATAGTCGACCAGAATTCCTTCAATCTTATAGATTCAAACATGTCCTGCTGAAAGATTGATGCATCAGACTGCACTTCTTCGGAAGAGTCGGCGAGAAAATGGGCATTATTTTCTATCTGCGGAAACACTTCGACTGTCAAAGTCGTTGAAAAAAACCACCACAGCCACCACAACAACGAATCTCGTACATCCAACACCTTCATTAAAAGAACCAGTGCAAAAATGAGAATGACGAAATAAAGAATGATATCATTTCATCAATGAGTTTCTTTAAAATAAATACTTTAAATACATTACAAAGTCAATAAACCAAGAAAAGTGACTAGGAAGACAACATTCGGACAAAAAACAATTATTCATAAATAGCGATAAGATACATGAGGAAGATTCCAGTAAGAAGCGCAAAGATCTCCTTGATTGTCTGGAAGAAGGAGCTGTTCTCCAAAAGTTCTGGGATCACAGAGACAGTGGCGATATAGATGAATCCTCCGGCAGTGAATGGAAGAACCCAGGAGCTGGCGGCAGCATCGGCAAGAGCGTCAGCGTCAGTGGCGAGGAGAGAGATTACACATCCAGAGAGGGCTCCAAGAGCAGTGACAAGTTGAATGAGCATAGCCTTCTTCTTTGAGTATCCGGATTGAATGAGGATTGCGAAATCTCCAATCTCATGGGGAACCTCGTGGACGAGAACAGTGATCATGGTGACGACTCCAACTGTGGTTCCAGCAATGAAAGAAGCTCCGATGGCAAGTCCATCAGTGAAGTTGTGGGCGAAATCGGCGGCAAGGTTGAGATAAGCGGTGACTTTAATAGTTTGCTCGTCCTTCTTGCATTCCTTTTCCTTCTTGGAGTCCTTATCCTTGGAATCCTTATCCTTGGTCTCCTTAGTCTCCTTCTTCTCCCCACCATGGGAATGTCCGTGAGAATGTCCGTGACCCTCTCCTCCTCTCAAAATACGAACCAGCTTCTCGACCGTTAAGAATGCGATGATTCCTGAAAAAGGTATAGTTAACTTCGTCATGGCGTCTTCGGTCGGTCGGTTGACTAAATTTTGTGGCCGAATGGACGCCTTAATCCTATAGAAAAATCTTACCTGCAAGAACCCATCCTCCAACGCTCATGTCATGAGCTCCATGAGAGTGTCCTCCAGCTCCTCCATGAGAATGTCCATGAGAATGCGAGTGTCCATGTCCGTCTCCAGCTGGAGTGGCGTGAGGAATCAGATGGAGGAAAGCGTCTCCGAGAAGTCCTCCGGATCCGAAAGCGAGAAGAACCTTGAGAAGGGGGCCAGACTCTGAGGTGTTGGCTTGAATTGGAATGAACATAAGAATGAAGCATGGAGCGGCAGAGATAAGGAGTGTGGCAGAGATTCCGTACACCCAGAGTCTGGTCTTGGCGTCGTTGAGGAAGGAGAGAGCTCCAGTGTATTGGTACTCAGAGGCAACTTGCTTAGCGGCTTTCCTGGTTTGCTCGGCTCCGCTGAAAATAATTTGTATAAAAGTCTCTATTTGTGTAAAAGTTGTTCTGTGTTGCGAACTCACTGAAAATGTCCGTGATCTCCATGAGAGTGTCCATGGTGCTCGTGAGCGTGTCCGTGGTCGTGGTCGTGGATGTCTTCTTCATCACTGAAAAGTGTATAATTTTGCCAGTGTCCTCACAGGCATACTTGCCGATAAATCAATTCCGGGCCGACACGGGGCGGTTGTCAAGTTGCTTCAAAATTGAAATTTTGAGCAAGTTAACTTACCAAAATACAGAATTCGGCAAGCTCTGCAAACTCTAATAAAAATAAACCGGCTTCGAACAGGCAAAAATTGTCGGCTCGGCTATAAAATGCCGGTTCGGACCATTTTACCATTTTTGAAACCGGCTCATTCTTATTGAAGAATGTGGAGCTCACCGCGCTTTAGTTCATTTGATATGATCTTTCGCCACAATTTCAGTTTTGAAACGAGTTATCAGGCTGATGCAGGCCCGCATCAGCTCTTCGGCTTGGTACTTACTGAGAGTGTCCATGATGATCGTGAGCGTGACCATGATCATGAGCATGTCCATGGTCGTGAGCGTGTCCGTGATCGTGGTCGTGGGCATGTCCATGAGCAGCAGCAGCGGCGGCTTCAGCAGCGGCAGCTGAAAGTTGATAGCAAGAGGTGATCGTTAGCTAATAGAAAATCCTAGGGTGAGAACCATCGAATCACCCGCATTTTCTCTATTTCCCGCCTTCTGAAACATAAAATCCCTCACCTTTGGCGTATGGGCAACCTCCATCAGCGTCATGAGCATGTCCATGTCCTCCATGAGCGTGTCCGTGTCCCTGACTATGCACATGACGCTCAACGTACTCTGGATCGTTCGCTTCTTTCGTGTATTTCAAATGAGCCTGACCATAGGTGGCGACGGCGAGGAGAGACAGAAGGATGCAAGATTTCACCCACATTTTGAAGAAATTACCCTGCAAAAATAAAAATAAAAATCGATAATGTGCATGGTACGAGGATTCAGTGACGTGTACAAGCAATTTAAATTTTTAAAAAATGTTGAAAATCGATAACTTGAGTTTTTCTAACGTATTACTCAAAACATTCGCTCTGCAACACAATAGTCATCGATTTTAGGAGAACAAAGGGCACAAAAAACCAGGGAAAAAGGAGATATTGCGGCCAACGCGACACTCGTCGAGAGGGAAGGTTTGCAGAGGTGCGACGGGGCGCATTTGCAACACACGGCCTTGACTGTGGTAAACAGAGGGGGAGCAAATTCAAATAGAGATACAATCTGACGTAGGAAGGTAGGAAGAGAAGAAAGGTGTGGTGGTATTCTTGACAGATGGTCCGACGGGGTTGCCTTGTTTGCCGATCGGTTTATTATGAAGAGTGCTTGACATGCTCTCCAGAATTAAACATTCACGCGGAAATACCTGAGCTCATGATGCTTTCCGTGTTTTTTTCAAAGTATTATTGTTATGACTTTTAAGTATTTTCCTGGTAACTTTTGTCTAATCCATGATGTCAATACATCAAGTTGACAAAACATCCTATAAAAAACTAGACTCATTGACAGAGGCGAGAATAAAAATATATGAAAAGAAAATTGCCCTCACGTTTTTTTTGCAATGAAGGGAATTGAGGCTATCCACACAGAAAAAAAGGAACTAGTTTCTTTCACTTCATCCGCTTGTTACATCTTGAATACCGGGCACACTGTCCACTTTACCTCAGGCGTCTACCATTTCATTTTCGTTTTTTCCCTTTATCTTATTTCTTGTTGTTCTGTTCTAAGGTGTGAATATGAATCAGCGTACTGGCCAGGACAGAAAAATGGTATAATTGGAATATTTGTACTACCAGTATCTCGTTTTTCCAATTTTTACGTATGTAGAATGCATTTATTCTGGTAGTTTTACTTCAGAGGCCATATTCGGAAAAATTTTTTTTGGAAAATTGTTGTCTTTCAGAAAATCTTTCTGTTCTTATTAAACAGACATACTTATTCAATTTCCTGGATACACTAAATTTTTCAAATTTCCTTATTATAGAATAGTAGTATGATGACAGTATAGTATCACAAGTGCATTATAATTCAATTTTTAACTCAAAACTTGTAGTTCTTCAACTTAAAAACAATGTTTTTTAGTATTAATGAACAGAGCTTAAAATTTGGAGTACTGTAATCAAAAATGAAGATTTTTCATTTCGTAGTTTTTGAGAAAATTTAGTTTAAAAGTCATTTTTTGACTCTGCAAATTGAAAAATTATTTGAAAAGCGTTCAGCACATTTTCACGCTCCCATTTTCTTTTTCGAAAATAATCAAGTTGCATTTTGAAGGGAAAATGGCTTTCAGAAAACAGATAAAAATAGGAATACCATAATACCTGTTATAGGAGGGCCTCTAACTTAAGACTTTAAGTCAATTTATCTCGATTCTTGTCGAAAATATCAGAAAGTTGTCAACGGATAAATTGTTTATCATAATATCACAAACATTGTATCAGTTGACACAGTTTTGATATCTTTTATAAGAGCTGAGATAATTAAGCTCAAACTTGACAGTGTGGAAGCCCTTTTAGTATAGGTTTTGCAGTATACAAAAACCCATTCATCAGTTGGTTTTTAGTATTTTCAGGAGTCTGAAGCTCGTTTTTCAAGTTTTCAATCTTTTCGAAAATTTTGGAGCGTTTAAAACAGATCTAGATAAAAAACTTGGCATTCACAGGAAATTCTCAAAAATTTCTTAGTTTTCCAGCTAATTGCCGATTTCTGAAGGACACCATTTTCACTTGTTTTTCACTAAAACAATTTTGTAGATGCAAAATATTCAATCTAGGTTTGCTTCAAACTTTACAAAAATGTCAAAGTGGTTTAGAACTTGACAGTCAAGCTCCAGACTCCTGAAAATGCTGAAATCGACAGAAAAAGACGTTTTTCTATATTTTCAACGCATCTTTGGATATTGGTTTCATTTTCCGGAAAACAAATTTCGTTTTTTTTTCATAATTCCTATTTTCTGGATTATCTAACCAAATCACTGTTTCGTACTGGTTGTATTCCATGACCATATCCCTTCGTTAGCCTCCTTGTTATATACCTAATTGCTATTCCTATCCGGGTTAAGAATCCCAACAAATCCCATCCTAATCTCCTATGGGCTGTCCTGTCCTGCCGGAAATCTCAAAACGGTTTTTGTTGGAGTAAACGCCTTTTTAGTTTTTTTGTATGTGCTTTGGTGTCCTCTAATTGTAAGACTTCTTCTTGCAACTCCTCAAATCGTGATATTCCCATTTACGGGCGGGTGGGTCTATCCATTTGATTTATCTATACCTATAATATTTGAGCACACATGTCAAAAAGTGACCGATATTGCGTGCGAGCTCCTATCTCGTAATTTACCGTTTGACAGCTGTCCTAGGGTTTTGTCCTTTATCCAATTTTGGGTTTATCTATTTTCACGCAAATTATAATTTCAACGTTTTTATCGCAATCTTTGATGTTCAGGTAACCATCTCTTCAAGGCCTTCAGATCAATCGGTTTCTGGGTATTTTTTTCGAAGTGAGTAATTACTGCTGATGTTGAGAGAGTGTTTTGTGTTTGGCATTGAGAAATTAGGATGAAGAAGAAGAAAACCTGTTCACCTCTAGGTTGAAAACAATCCCAAAACCGTTCCGACTGTTACCGAAAAACGATAACAACTAGAATTTATATATGTCAAGAAATTTCTCCAGAGAGGATGAGCGTGAAAAAAGCGACCTTTCCCACAACCCCGTTATGAGGTGCCGCCCGCGCACAAATAGCGAAAATGAGGGGGGGCATGACAGTGTAGGATATGAAGGACCATGACACTAAATACCGTAAACTTTAATATAATGAACAACTTCAAACTTGTTAGAGCTGATTTACCTTGGCTCCTGTGAAAGATCTAAAAAAGTTGTCAACTGATAAATTGTACATCATAATATCAAAACTATTTTATCAGTTGACACATTTTTTATATCTTTCATACAAAATGAGATATGCAATCTCAAAGTTTACGGTTTCGGTGGCATAGTGTTAACC